CTTTAACAAGCCCTCCAGGTAAGGCTGGTGCTGCTCAGTCTGAGAGTCCAAGCCAGGTGCCAGCAAGGTGACTTTGGCACATGCTGAGCCCATGTGTGTCGGGCTAGAACTGAATTCCATAGGGTTTGTAATAGCTGGTTCTTCTTCTAGTTTCTTTTCTTTTTTTTTTTGAAGTATGCCAGGCCTTTCTTCTGTGATGCCTCTGGGGAGACTGGCCCTTCCAACCTTTCAGTCAGTCGGCAGCCAAACAGAGTAGCCATTTGCATCACTCAGTGATTCCAAAGTTTGAGAGTCAGTGGTCCGACAAATTCCTATCCATCCTTTAGAATCTAGAGTTAGACCTCAGCCCAAAGGTCACCTCCTCAGGGAAGCCCCCTCACTCCCAGGAGGCTGTCATGACACCCCCTTCTTCTGCTAGGTGGTCATGACCACAGCAGGGAGCGCACAATTACTTGTGTAATCCAGGAAAAGTCTTTCTCTCCCATTAGCACAGATGGGCCCTGGGAACACACTACCTTCATATCACTAAGATATCTAGCATATGACCTTGGGGCACCTAGAACTGTGCCTGGCACAGAGCAAATGCTCAGTAAGCTTGTGTCAAGAGAGCAAATGACCGTGGAAGCAAGACCTCCTCTTCCAGCCCTTCCTGCTTCAAACATCTACACAGGGCGTGACTGCGGGCCTGCACCAGGCCAGTGCAAGAACTAGCTAACTGCCACGTCGGAAAAGAAACAGGAGGGTGAATCCGTCGAGTTGGGTCCTCAAGGAGGGACGGCCATTTGCCAAGCAGAGAAGTCCGGGAAAGGCATTGCGGGTAGAAGGAATGGCATCCGCAAAAGAAAAACCTGGTGAGACGGAAGAGCACAGTGTGGGGGGTGGGTGGGGGTTAGGGCAGCAGCAGGAGTTGTAGGAAAGGAGGCTGGAGGGTCCCGTGGAGATGCGCTGGCCAAAGACCACTGGCGGAACACAAGCTGAAGTTTGGATTTCATTGTGGGGGGCGCCACGGGGGAGCCCCTGCCTGTTTTCAAGCAAGCACTTGACTTGATTTCTTCTTTGTAAAAAGCATATCTACAAAAACAGTTGGAAAGCCAAGAGAAGAGGGGCAGGCTCGTTCGTTCGTTCATTCAGAGTGCTGTTGAACCTGGCCATGTCCTGACTCTGGGGCACAGTGGGGCAGCCTGCCTCTCCACAAGCAGGGCATCACCTGGTCCCACCATCCACCCCTCGCACCCTCCCTGGCCCTAGATACTGTGCAGGGCCCCTCCCGCCTCCACACCCCCTGGCTCACTGGTTTCTATGAGGCAGGGCAGGGATGGGGGAGGCGGCCAACAGGAACCACAAGGACACAATGGCCGCTTTGTTGCTTCTGCCAGGGCTGCTCCAAGAATAGCTGCTTGCTTAGCTTGGACGGGGTTGGTTGGTGCTTGGAGCAATGGAAAGCTGTGCCCCCCACTGAGAGCCAGTGGGGGCTGAGCCTGAACCCCCTGGGTCACCCGCCTCTGGTTTTCATGAGCCCCAAGGAATGCAGGCAGTGGGGGAGGTTTGTACGGGTAGTTGTCAGTCTAGGTTGGGGGAGAGCATGTGAGTTGGTAAAGCAATTTTCTTTTCCAAATGGAATCATCTGCAGAAACTCAATGTACAAAACCAATGAAAGAACAGAGCCCCACCCCGTTAAAGGGGGTTGGGCATTGGGCAGAGAGACCCCCGGCTTTTCGATGTCCCTCCTCACTCCTGCATCTAGGCCCTGCCCTCTCTAGACACCCCTGATTCCAGCCACCCCCTCCCTCTACACTGGACGGACTTGCTGGAGAGTAGGCTCCTCTCCCGAGGCCACCGAGCAAGTTGGGTTAAACGGGGACCTGCAGCTGGGAGATGTTCCCCAAAGCTGAATCCACACTTTCCCAGCCTCTGGCAATTTCTCCCAAAATAACGCATCCCACCTGTGGCGCTAGACCTTAAAGCGTGTCTCTAAACCAGCAGTCTTCTCAGCGACTCTATTTGAAAAATGAACGAGAACGTCAAGTTGCCACAAAAGGAGCATAGTTTTAATAAATACAGAAGCCTGCTTTGGGGCTCCCGGGAGGCACGCGCGGTCGACGCCCTCGGCTGCTATCAGAAAGGTTGGGGTCCACCCAGAAGCACCTGAAAGAAAGGCCTGGCAAACTACTTCCAAAAATCAGCCCCTGCAAACCTCGTGGGGCACCACTGGGCTGTGACCCAGGGAGTCGCCATGGGTCCGAGCCGATCTAGGAGCATCGTGTACATGGCTGAGAGCATTGTAAGGTCCTTGGTGGCACGCATCGTTAGGTTAAAATGCCATCTCTTATGATTTGGTCTGCCTTCTGACCTATTTAAAGCTGTTTCCGTTTTGTTTTATTTCACTTAAGCGGAGGGGAAATACACGCATGGATTAAGCCCCTGATGCATCCTCTCTGGTCGTGGATGAGGGGCGGACACAGCCTTGCTAACGTGCAGATGCACTGGAAAGCACATTGTTACACCTGCAGTTAGGTGAAAACGTAGCTCCCTGTCGTTTGATCTCCCTCGTGGTCCATTTACATTTGTTCTAGTTTTTAATATTTCTTGCTCTCTTTTTTGAGGTTGTTATGTTTTACTTTGTTATTAGCAGTAGTTTTTAGTTTTTGTTACTTTTTAATTGTTTTGTCTTTGAAATCTAAGATAGCTCAATCTATAGCGATAGTAACTGGATTCCTGGTTGATGGGGTGGGGCGGGGCATGTGTCAGGAGGAGGCTGGGCGGCAATGGGGAGCTAACAATGATGAGCACACATGAATGAAGAAGATGTTCTCAAACTGACTGTACCACTCTTCGCGATGGGATTGAACGATTGAACTGTATGCTATGTGAATGATACGCCAATAAAACTGTTAAGGGAACAAAAAGTTCCTGCAGCAAGCCAGCGGCAGAATTGGGCTTGAATTCGGATCTTCTGCACACGCACCCCTAATTCAGGGGTGTGGCTAAGACGGGCTCCCGGTTCTTCCTGGGTGTGGACTGAGGGTAGCAGGCCCCAGCCACCTGGTGTCCAACCTCAGCCCGGGTGCAATAGGAGGGTGAGTGTGGAGAGGGAATTCACCTTTCATCATATTTCACTGCCGGGGGACCGGCATCCCCATAATAAAGTGGGAGGGATAGAGCAGCAGAGAGACAAGGAACAGAGCGACCCTGCCCAGCCCCCTGCTCACTGTCTCCTGCCAGTCCCTGTGGCCAGCGAGTGCTCTTTACAGGAGCCCCTGCAGTCTGTGGCCTGGGCCAGAGAGCCCTTACCAGATGGCTTCTCCAGTCCAACATGCCCAACCTAGACCATCTCTTCCCTGCCAGGCTCCCACCACCACAGCACCCTACTGAAGGTCTGCACCAGTGATTCTCAAACAGGTGGCCCTGGAGCACTCTCCTGCCCCTAACCTGTCAGATTCCGGCCTGAGGTTCTCAAAAATAGCAGTTGCCACCAAGTCGACCCAAACTCGTGGTAATAACCCCATTGTGGCAGGGAAGCAAGTGGAGACCCATAGACGTAGGGTGTGAGGTGGCTGTTTTCTGAAGTAGATCACCAGGCCTTTCTTCCTTGGCACCCAGGGGTGGATCTCAGCCTCCACCCTCTGGTCGTCACCAAGTGCATGGACTGTTTGTTCTGCGGGGGACACCAGCAAGCCCCAAATGCTTTCCGGGTGCTGCTGATATTGCCCATCCTGAGAGTCACCGGCCTCCACTTTCCATCCGCCTTGCCCCCCTAGACTCTCTGAAATGTGACCCACAAGTCTGTAGGCTTTAAAACCCACAGAAGAATTCAAACAGCAACCCAGGCGCTTCTGATGTCTGAACACCGTAGAGAACTGTACTGGGGCTTAAGAGGCCCATAGAGTAGCCTTGCCTGTGCCCATGCCCTACATCCCAAAGCCCAGGAGAATCCCTCCTGATCCTCCCTGAGCCCCTTGGGCCCTTAGGGACCGTCAGACTTAGGAGCATTAGCTCTGGGACTATATCCCTTCTCTCCTTCCCATTTAGCTGACCGAACTGACTCCTTCTGCTCTGAAGTCTTACTGGCTTTCCAACAGTTCTAGAAGCATTTCCCTTTCCGTGGGAAAACCCCCGAGTCCCAGGGAAGGACTCTCTGAAGGTGGGAAACCAGGAGAGGGGGGATCTTTGTCACAAAGCCGCCTGCCCGTGCCCCTTTGGTCCCCAGCCTCCTGCTCGCAAGGCCACCAGCCCAGAGCCCCTCCACCGTGACCTCTGGGCCTGGGGCACTGGCCCTCTCAGAGCCTTGGGGCTCTCAAAGCCGGCTGCCCCTCAGAGGCAGTGGGGTTCTGAGACACATCACCCACTGGCTAGGCCTTGGAAACCTGCCCGTCATAAACTGGTAAATCCTGCACCATATCACTGACATGGAAACAGCAAATACAGAGGTGCCCAGGAGGCTCCGTGGTCACCAGGGCAGAGGGAGGGGTGGTGAGTTTAGATTGTTGGCGGTGGAATCGTCTAGAAAGTGGTAATGAGAAGGGCCTCACTTCCTGTCTTAATTGCACACATAGGAATGGCTGACTGGGCACCTGTCTGGTTGTGTGCATTTTCACCATCTTTTAAGTGGAAAGCAAATGTTTTGAGAATGATGAGGGCAACAAATGTACAAATGTGCTTGACACAATGGATGGATGGATGCATTGTGATAAGACTTGTATGAGCCCCCAATACAATGTTTTTTCCAATAAAATGATTTTTTAAAAATAAGGAAGCATGTAAGGAATTCGGACACCCAGGCCCCCACCCCTCAAACGTCCTGGCTCTGGAGGTACAGGGCTGAGCCGGGGAGCCTGCATTGTTAACAAGTGCCCTCCCCACATCAGGCTATGGGGACACAACTGGTTCCTTCAGGGTCCCCAGATGAGCTGAGCACTGCCCCTCTGAGACCCACTTCCCTGGACCTCTCTGCCTGGCCCATCCCAGGACTCCCTGTGACCCTCTCTCCTCTGTCCCTGCAGCGCTGCCCCAGCCGGTGCTGAGACCTTTAGCCTGAAGCACTCGGAGCATGTGCAGGTGGAGGTGGTGTGCGACGGCCAGGCCGAGGAGGTGGCCACCAATGGCAAACAGCGCTGGCCCCTCTCACCCAGCACCACGCTGCGGCTCACCATGAGCCAGGCCAGCGCCGAGGCCAGCAGTGACAAGGTACTGGGATGAGGGAGGCCCACCTTCCGTGGGCTTCGGGGCACCGGTGGGCATGCTGGGGAGGAGGCAGGCTACGTCAGCCCGGGTCTTCAACCCAGTGAGGGTTTCCCACCCGCAACACGTGTCACTTCATGTTTGCATGTTTGCAGTGCTCCGTAGCCACCTGGGGTTCATAACAACTCTATCAACAGAGCCGTGTGGCTAAGGTGACCAGACGTCCCTCTTTGGGCCGGACAGGCCCGATTTTTAACAATTTGTCCGGTGTCCCGTGGCATTTTAAAAAAGTCCCGATTTTTGGAAAGAATGCAGGACAAGCTAGGGTAGACGGTTTTCGGCTGCCATGTGGCTCTTTCGCCAGGATATGAGTTTTATCAACGGTGTCCTGCTTTTGTCCTGCTTTACCAGTGTTAAAATCTGGTCACCTTAGGACCCAAGGGAGAATGACGTCACATCACTCACGTCATTGGGTGCTATTGAGTCGGGACCACCTCGTAGCAACTCGGTGTACCAAAAACAAGTCCCGCCCGCCCTGAGTGGTCCTCTCCTCATTGCTCCGGCTGAGCTCTTGTTGCAGCAGCCACGTCCATCTGTCCCCCCGAGGGTCTTCCTCGTTCTCCTGTCCTGCTGCTCCGCCGAGCAGGATGTCCTTCCCCAGGGCTGGACCTCCTGGTGACGTGGCCAAAGGACATGAGAGAGAGCTTTGCCTTCCTCGCTTCTAAGGAGCATTCTGGCTTCCATCACAGATGTGTCCGTTCCTCTGGCAACGGGTGGTGTGTTCGATATTCTCGCCCACACCGTCGTTCAAGGGCGTCGTTCAAGGGATTCTTCCCCAGCGTTCCGTGCTCATTGTGCCGCTCTTGGGGGTACCTGAGGCAATCCACGGGGCCGGGGCCAGACACACCTTCGTCCTCCAAGCGACGTGCTTGCTCTACAACACTTTAAAAAGGTCTCGAGCCGCGCATCTGCCCAGCATAGTACGTCCTGAGACTCCTTGACTGCCGCTGCGAGGAGCTCGATTGTGCATCCGAGGAAAATTCAATCCAGAGCAGCCTCACTGACTGCTCCAACCATCAGGGCGTTGTTTGTGGGTCCAGATAGGAGGGGTTTGTTTCATTCGTGCTGAAGGCTGTCTGTCCCTTTATCTGCATCACGGAGTGCTTGAGCACCTCCTGGATTTCAGCAAGCAGGGCTGCATCAGCTGCGGATCACGGTGTGAGTGGTCCCGCCCCTAGTTCTGATGCGGTATTCTTCTTCTATCGTCCAGCTTCCTGGGCGATTCACTCAGCATGCGGATTGAATTAGCACGGTGAAAGGATCTAACTCGGACACACCCCTGCTTTGAAACCACACAGCCTCCCCATGTCCTGTTCAAACAACTGCCTCTTGTTCTGCGTACAGACGCCACATGGGGACAATCAAGTGTTCCGGTATTCCCAATGGCTTCATGAGAAGCAAACAAACTCACTGCCATCGAGTTGACGCCGCCTCACAGCATCCTTATAGGACAGGGTAGAGCTGCCCCTGTGCCTTTCTGAGACTGGGGCTCTTTACAGGAGCAGAAAGCCCCGGCTTTCTCCTGAGGAGCAGCCGGTGGTGTCTAACTGCTGGCCTTGCGAATCGCTGTCCAATCGTAACCACCGCTGCCCAGGGCTCCTCGTGGGGTTGGTAGGGGCCTGCCACCGAGGGGGCTCCACCTCCTGGAGACCCTGTGTGCCACAGAATGAGACCCCGTCCCGTCCCGCACCATCCTCCCAATTGTTCTTGTGTTGGAGCCCATTGCTGCAGCCACTGCGTCCATCCCGCTTATCCAGGGTCTTCCTCTGTCTCCCTGCCCCTCCGCTCCACCACGCCTGCTGTCCTGCTCCAGAGTCTGGTCTCTCCAGACAGGATGTCCAAAGTACGTGAGATAAAGTCTCACCGCCCTGGTCACTCATGCACATTCGGGCTCTCCTTCTTCCAGGACAGATTTGCCTGCTCCTTTGGCAGTTCACTACACTCTCAATATTTTCCACCAGAACCATGACTCAGATGCATCGGTTCTTCCTCCGTCTGCCTTATTCAGTGTCTGACTTTCACACGTAGGTGAGGCAATGAAAAATACCCAATGGTCAGGCGCACCTTAGTCCTCAACGTCCCAACATTGCTTTTCCAACACTGTAAAGAGGTCTTATGCAGCAGATTTACCCAATGCAATGCATTGTTTGAGTCCTTGACTGCTGCTTCCATGAGCATTGATTGTGGATCCAAGCAAGATGACATCCTGGACAACTTCCATCCTTTCTCCATTGATCATGATGCTGCCTACTGGTCCCGCTGTGATAGACTATTGAACGATAGATAGTTTAGAAACTCCAAGCCGTGGACTCTTAGAATCCTCGGATGTTACAGCCTTTGGTTCTGTCATCTGTGAAATAGGTGCTCAGACCTCACAAAGGGGCAGCAGTTGTTTAGCGGTAGAAGTTGCACCTTCCATGTGGGAGATCCAGGTTCAATCACTGGCCAGAGTACCCGATGCAAAACTATCACCTGTCTATCATCAGAGGCTTCCATGTTGCTATGAAGCATGGAACAGGTCTTAGCTTCCTGACAACGATGGGCTAGGAAGAAAGGCCTGGTGAGATGCTTCTGAAAATCCATCGTGGTAAACTGTATGGAGCCCAGCGGCTCAATCTGCAACTGACCGTGGGGGTGGGTTGGGTCCAGACAGTGTTTTGTTCTGTTATGTGTTGGGTGGCCATGAATGGGGCACCGACTCAAGGGACACAGACAACCAGGAGGACTCAAGGGGTGAAATGACTTGTTAAGGCCACATGGTGAGGTAGTGGTGGCACCAGAGCAGAGCTGTCTCCTCCTCGGATTCTCTAACGATGAACAGTCCCTTTGTCACACATCCACTGCAGTGATCGCATGGCCATGGTACAAAGATAAGGTCAGGCCACCCTGGGGGCTGCCCAGGAGCTGGATGGGTATTGTGGCAGGGGTGGGGCCCCACGGGGAGCAGGTAGGCAGATGGGAGGTGGGGGAGGCCCAAAGAGGGCATCTGACACTGCCCAAGAGAAGGGAGTCCACAGCCCAGCTGAGGTGCCTGGGAGCACAGCCCAGCTGCCCAGGAGAGCAGCCTGGAAGAACTGGGTGGACATCCAGAAGGGTCATTGACAGGGCCTGAGCTGGGGAGGGGTGGCCTGCAGGTGTCCCTGCCCCTGATCTGGAATTTCTGCTCTTCTCTCCCTCCCAATGTGCCCCCTCCCCACCAAGGTCACCGTCAACTACTATGATCAGGAGGGGAACTTTCCCATCGACCAGGCTGGACTCTTCCTCACGGCCATCGGTGAGTCTGTTGCCCTCATGACCCAGGGCAGCTCCCTGGGGCTCAGGCTGGGCACGTGCTTGCCTCTGCAGCCCGGCACTGGTGGCCTCTGCTGAACAATGCAGGCCCGGGGAGGAGTGCCTTGGGGCCCGGCCCCTCTGTGCTGGGGGCAGAGGACCTCCTGCAAGAGGAAGTGTGCCCTGCTCTGCCAATGACTCCGCCCCTGCCCAGCTCACTGCCAGAGGCTCTGTGGGCCAAAGAGGAGAAAGTGGAAACTCCGTCCCTGTCCCTCCCCTCACAGCCTGGAGAAAAACTGCCCTCTCCTGAGGGTGATGACCACAGGCCGTAAGGCCTGCTGTGGACCCGGTCCACCCAGCTACCCCCTTGTCCTCCCTGAGACCCAGCTCTGGGTGTGCTAGATGCCACCCTGAACCACTAACATGCCCTGGGCAAGCTTCTCCTTTAACCCAAGAGGGCAGTGGAGCCCAGAGAGGTCAGGGAACCCATTCAAAGTCACACAGCAACTCCGTGATAGGTCGGGTCCACGACTCAGGATCATTCCCTCTCAGGTTCCTTCCATTGCACTGCACTGTCCTGGGGCCAGGCTTGCCAAGGAGGGGTGGGGGCTGGGTGGAGCCCAGCTTCAGATAACAGGGTCCAGGACCCTCGGTCACTGGACTCTTCTGCATTGAGGTGCTACTTGCACAATTTTAAAAAATTAAATCACAGGCTGTTTAAGTGAGAGGGAAATGTCCATTTCAGAGGGTCATGTCACACCCACCCCCAGCCTTGCCTTAGCATGGACACCACTGCCATGCATCAAGGGAAGAGGACTATCCATTACTGGGTATCTGCCACATGGCCAAAGGAGCCCTGGTGGCCTGGCGGTTCCACACTGTGCTGTTATCTACCAGGTCGGCAGTTCAAAGCCACCAGGCATGCCTCGGGAGATACACAGGTCTTTCTACTCCCAGAAACCCTCTTGGAAGCTCACTGGGGCACTTGCACTCTGTCCTACAGGGTCACTGTGGGTCGACATCCACTCAGTGGCAGTGAGTTTGATTTGGGCTGTGTGCCGAGTGCTTTTAAAATAAGAAGAGTCTTCCCAATGTATTGAACACCTACTGTGCGTCCCAGTCCCTGCAGGGTGCTCTGGGAAGGACGGCGGTGGTTGTGAAGACAGTGTGATCAATACCCACGAGGCGCAGCAGCAGTGCGCCAGCTCTTGCACAAGCTGGTCGCCGGGCCTGATCTCAGTGTTGTTCTCATGCTGCTCTGCCGAGGGTTCAAAAAGACAAACTGCCATCATTACCTCCCTTCCACTGGAGTCCAACTCCCAGCCATCCCATTTGTGTCGGACAGGGACGGTTTTGTACCGTTTTCAGCGGCTGGTTTGGGTTTGGGTTTGGCAAGTAGACCACCGGGCCTTTCTTCTACAGTGCCTCTCAGTGGGCTAGAAGTGCCAGCCTTTGGGTGAGGGGCCGAGTGCTTCACTGTTGACGCCACCCCAAGACTCCACCATCCCAAGGACGGGAACAATATCACCCCGTGTTGCAGATGAGAAAAACCTAGCCTCAGAGTGTGACACAGCAAGCAAAGACTTGCGTGAGGCCACACAGCCGGAGAGCGACAGTGGGGACCCAAGCCTGTCCGCATGTCCCATGTTCCCTGGGGTCGACGAACTCCCAGGCCAGCCCCTGCGCCAGCCCCGAGCTCTGTGCTGCTGACGACTAGGCTGCTGGCCACCCTGTCCCTCTGCCAGGAGGTATCCAGGCTCGGCAGTAAGGAAACTCAGGATGACTTTGGGGGGCCCCTGGGAGATGGTAACCAATGCCTCCCGGGTCATGGCCAGCCTGAGGCACGTGTGTGAACCTCTCATGTATTCACAGCCCCCAGGTTGTCTTAGGTGACTGTCCCCAAGGAAACCTAACCCCACAGGGACGGCACAGCCGGAGACACCTGAGGACAGAGGCAGAAGGGACAGGGGCCAGAGGTCTGCTGAACACGGGTGGATGAGCCATGAAGGGACTTCTACCAAAGCCAGACAGACTTAGGAGAGAGGGCAGATCAGCCTCCAGGGCCTCAGAATCCCCACGCCCAGGAGTGCTCTGTAGGGCAGCCGGCCACACTTCCCTCCCTAAGGCTGTGCTCAGCTGCAACAGATGATTCCAAACTGGCTGGTGATGAACGGCCAGCCTACCCCTGCAGAGGCCCTGAGCGGTGCCTCTGTTATTGTTCTTGCTGTGGTCGTCGTTTTTGACTTAGGAGGATCCCGTGTGACCGAGTAGAACTGCCCCAGGGGTTTCCAAGGTCCTGGTGGTGCAGGGGTAAAGTGCTCAGTTGCTAACCCAAAGCTGGGTGGCTGGAACCCACCAGCCCCTCCGTGAGAGAAAGAGGTCACAGGCTGGGTCCATGAAACGCCACTGGGCAAACCCTGGAGCCCTGGCAGCAGTTGGAAAGCCCCAGCCACTCCTCAGGAGAAAGACGGGGGGCGTCTGCTCGGGCTCAGAGTTAGTCTCCGGAACTCCACCCTGTCCTCTAGGGGTTGCTGTGAGTTGGCATCCACTCGATGGCTGGGAGTTGGGGGGTGTTGGGAAGCCGTAGAGGACGGTTGTACTCTGTCCTGTGGGATCACTATGCGTCAACTGGAAGGAAGTGGGCTCTAAGCTTCAGCGGTCCCCTGCAGGCTCACTGTGACTTGCCTTGACAGTAACAGACTGCCAGGTCTTTCTCCCCAGGAGCCACCAGCTGGGTTGGAACCACCAGCGTTTCAGTTAGCGCTGAGCACTTAACCATTGTGCCACTAGTCCTCCCCGCGCCTCCATGCACCAGTTATTTCCTGAGCGGTCACCGGTTTCCAGATAGTTAGATTCCACAAGCAATAAGATTGCCCTCTCTCCCCCACAAAGGACAAGGGATGACATAAGACGGACAGACACTTTTATTCTTGGGGGAAGCGCATAGAAGGCAGGAGCCCTATCTGCAAGTGTATCACTCTCAGCTCATGGGAAAAGGCCACTTTAACAACAACAACAGCCACCACACTGCCATCAAGTCGATACAACTCAGTGACTGCCCGGGACAGGGTAGAACTGCCCCTGTGAGTTTCCAGGACGGTCACCCTTTGCAGGAGTAGAAAACCTCTTCATGGGCAGGGCATCCTCTCAGAAGAAAAGGAGATCATGCCTCTGAGGCTTAGACACCTGACAGTGCCCAGAGGAGGGGCTGCCCTAGGTAGTGTCTGCGCCGGCCTCACCCCGCTCTGGGCCCCACACCGACCCACGTGAGCAGGAAGAGTAATGGCTTCAGAAATGTACCTGGAGGCTCTGCTCCTCGGGGCCCCAGGGTCCTCACCTGTGAGTGGGCTCACCTTGCTCAATGAAGAGGAGTCAAGGGGGCCGGCGGCCAAAGGGCCCATCTGCAAGGACTGAGTGCTCCGCCCAGGCTCTCCTTTCTCCCCGCGCCCCAGGGCAGCCACATTCAGAGGTGCCTCAGGCATCCCCCCTGAGATCTGGGGTGCCCTTGATCAAACTAGTCTTGAAGCTGCCTCCCTGAAGCTGCCTCCCCTCCTGCTGAGTAACTTCGACCCCTTTGGACCTCGTTTTCTCATGGCTCAAACTGAGGGTCTTGCAGTCTCCAGCTCTGAGGAGAGCTGGTTTGCCGAGCCTTACCGGTTGACAGCAGTCCCTGGGTGGTACAAATAGGTGAATGCGTTCTGCCACAAACCAAAAGTGGGGGGTTGGAATCTGCCCAGAGGCACCTCGGAAGAAAATCCTGGTGATCTACTTCCCCAAACATCAGCCGATCAAAACCGATGGAGCACACATCCACTCCGACACGTCAGGGTTGCAATGAATGGCACTTGACTCACTGGCAACTGGCCCCGTGTTAGGGTTTCCCTGTTAAAAGCGGGAAGAAAGGAAGCAGTGTGGAGAGGGAGGGTAGCCTGTGGTCCAGGATGTGGGAGCAATAGGTATATTTACACAGCCCCAAGGTGTTTCAGCATCACCCGAAGGTGCCCTTTCCCGGGACCTATGGCAATTGCCCCAGTTGGCTTAGGGGAATGTGCCTCCTCCCCACCACACCCCAAACTGCCAAGTAAGGCCAAAAGGATTGGCACCCTGCCACTCTCCATGGGGGGCGGCGGCCTGCCAACATGCCTGGCTGCAGCTGGGGCCCCTCCGTCTTGGTTCTCAGGGCATTCTGCCTCAAACCCAATCCCGCTGACATTTCCCGTTAATCTGCCCTACACCCCAGGCGCCATCCGACACCTTGGGGCTATTCCGGGGAGCTGAGGTAGGATCCCAGAGCCTCTGAGAAATGTCGTCCAGAGCCCAGAGGTCCCAAAACAGATGCCATCACCCTCCTCCCTCCGGGGAAGGCAGAGCTGTCCCAAGAGGGCAGGTCACACCCATCTCTCTATCTCCTTCACGGATCTCCTCCTTGGAGTCCCGCAAGCCGGAAGCAAGGCACCCTTGAAAGGCCCAGGGATGGCTCAAAGCTTGAAGGAGGCCGTTGACTGGGCTCGTGGCTCATGGAGCCCTGCGGAGGGTGGCAGGAGGGTGACAGGGAAGCTAGAGGAAAAAACACCCAACTTGCGTCGCAGGAAATCAGTCAACACGACTGACATGAATAACTATCAAGAAATAGCAATAAGTCTATTGACAGCGTCATGGAGGCTGCTTCTGCAGGGGGAGAAACGGTGGCCAGGGAATGCTGATTTTTGGAGGAAGCCTCTGGGCACTATGTGATGGCTTTTTTCTGTGCTCAAAGGGCACGTGATGATGTTTAAAAGACAAAGTGATTCTCTTTTTTTCTTTAATCATTTTATTGGGGGCTCGTACAGCTCTTACCACAATCCATGCATACATCCATTGTATGTCAAGCACATTTGTACATTTGTTGCCCTCATCATGCCCAAAACATTTGCTTTCTACTTGAGCCCTTGGTATCAACTCCTCATTTTCCCCCTCTCTCCCTGCTCCTCACTCCCTCATGAGCCCTTGATGATTTATAAATTATTATTATTTTGTCCTATCCTACACTGTCCGATGTCTCCCTTCACCCGACAAAGAGATTCTAAACAAAGTGCCTCTCATGCTCTCCTGGAAGGTCCTACCTCGGTGACCCTGCCCAGGGGTCACCTTGCAGGTTGCCTTGGAGGTCAGAGGGGCTGAGGTGGGGACATGGCCGGGTTTCTCTGAGGGTGGCCTTCGGGGAGCAATCCTGGGGCCTTTGAAGGCAGGTATGGCATTTGGAAACAGAGCCTAGACCAGAGATCAGTCAGGGTCAACTGAAGGTCAGTGGGGGGTCCTCCTGGGGCAGCATCAGCTGGAAGTCAGTCAGAGTCAGTGGAGAGCAGCAAAGAGAAGCCTCTCGATCCCAGACCGGCAGGGGCTAGCTGCTCTGCACTCGGGAATTTTGTGGTCCCTTGGCCGCTGGGAGCCTTGGTCTCCCTGTGGAGTTGGAGTTGGGGAAGGGTGGGGAGGTGATAATGCCCACACACCCCTGTAGTGGGGGTGAGAATTCCAGAAGTTCATGCCAGGGGCAAAGTGACCCCCCTCCCCCAACCAGGAGATTTTACCTTGAAAGCCAAGAGCAGGGCTGCTTCCCTGGCTGGCTCTGTGGCTGGTCCCCAGGGTAGAGCTGAGGGAAGCGGACCTCCTTCGCTGGGGTGGGTCCAACCGGAAAGTAGCCAATACCAGTGGGATTTGTCCACCTGAGCTGTGGATTTCTGCGACAGCAGATGTGGTCCCACCTGTCCTCCTTCTCCGGGGTGCCCTTCTGCAATGTCAGCCTCCCAGATCCCATGGCCACTTTGCCAACAACTGACTTCTCAGAGGCTGGGTTTGGTATCTCACTGGACCCGAGACTCCTGGAGAACAGGCACTGCCCCTCGATTGCCCAGTATTCCGTCCTCCCATGCCCAGCACAGGGCCTGGGACATAGGAGATGCTCTACACTTATTTGTTGAATGAAGGAGGATTTTATGATATGGTGCCTCACAGCCTCTGACTCATAGTAGGGCTGCAGAGGTTGGAACTTTGGACCAGTCTCCCTCAGAGCCTCCACGCTCCTGCCTCCTTCTAGATCCAGAGAAGCCACGTTCTGGGTGCGCAGGAATTGGCTGTAGGCCAAGGGAGGACCTGCGTGTAGCCCCTGGATTCACTGGGCTGAGCGGCCTGGGCAAGAGGGACAGCAGTGCCCTCCCAATGCCAGAGCACCCTCCCCACCATCAGGCAAGGATGCACCTGTCAAGGGAACTAACTGGGTGCACATTCATTCCACCCAACTCCCTCTGCGGTCCAAGTCATGCTCAGCAGGAGGACGATTCCACTCAGGCAGAGCCCAGAGCCCGCTCTTCTCATTGGGTGTGACCCTCTCAACACTCCCTTGCCCAACCACCCTCTTAGTCTCCAACTCAGGGGGCAGCTTTGCCTCCCAAGGGACAGTTGACCAGATCTAGAGATATCTTTGGTTGGCAGAAGTAGGAGGG